GTCTTAAAGAATGAAATTCCAGAAATACTCCTAAATAGTTTTGTATCTTTTTTATGATTTGTCATTTTAAGATTGACTTTATTCCACCGACGTCTGTAGGCTATAAAAGATGCGTTCTTTCTAATTATCTTCTACTGATCTACCAATAAACCCATGATAATGTCATTTCATCAATATTTATATTGTGCGTTTTCATGCAAATGTCTAACGGTTGCCAATTGCAGATTATTTTAGCTGGGGTGGCCTCGGATTCAAACGACATAGACCACTCCTAATTGTTTTAAGCAAACACGTCAGCAAGAGACAATACAATAACCTCATGAATGCTAACTCTAGTGTTGCTTCCTTTCCGTGTAAGCAGAGTGGACAATTTTCACTGGAAAAATATCAAACACTCAGACAACTTAGTGTTAAGAATGCACATTACCATTCAGAAGACTTCGAGACTCGGATGCCAACTGGAAACGATATAGTACCCATGATGATGTCATTTCATCAATACTATTGTGCATTTTCATGCAAAATAGCTTACGGTTGCCATTTGCAGATTATTTTAGCCGGGGTACTGGCCCTGATTCAAACTATATGGACCACTCCTAATTGTTTTAAGCAAACACGAAACCAGAGACAATACAATAACTGCATCAATGCAAATACCGGCTAGTGTTGCTTCCTTTCCGTGTGAACAGACCGGACAATTTTCATTCGAAAAATATCAAACACTCAGACAACCTAGTAGAATGGACATTACAATTCACAAACGATTGTATATGGTTGTCAAACCAATCATAAAAATCTGAGAATGATGTTTTAGTCTTATTTTTTTCAGGAAAGGTTTGGTTTAAATTTGGATATGACTTTTATTGGATAAGGGCCAATGCAGAAAATATTGTGAAATAGTCTATTTGACTATTTCATTGTTTTTGAGTGTTTCGTTTTGGCATCTCAGAAATTTCCTGGTGGAAGAATATATCCCACATCACTCTATATACTTGCTCATTATGCATGTACATTTTTGGCGTATTCCCAGTTCAAAAGAGCAGATCAAAATGGGCAAAACGGGAAAGATTGTGCGGTTAAATTTACTGGATAACGTAAATACGATTAATGTAAAATAGGACCGAATTTCTTTTGTTTGCGTATATAGTTCTACCGGCAGAGCATTCCGATAACGGTCCCGTAATTACCGTACGAGAGGATATGATCATTATAAACGGTTGTAATTGACGTTTGCAATTTAATACATGTGTCGTAAGTCGTATAACCATATACGAAGCATGTATTCCATGTATGGGAATGTCGTCAGATTGTATTGAGGAAATTATCCGCCAGCTAGCAACCGGTCACCGGATGACGTTACTATAATACTGGGAATATTTTCAATGTGGTGTGGTTTTCACATTGACCATGCTGTATTATATCAATTACTAATGCCATGCAGTCAAATGAGAACAAGAGTTGCATGAGAACGTAAGTTGACTGGATTACTAATTCGAAAATGAAAACCACATCAGGCTATATGTGTCGTAACTTTATAAGGAAAAAAGAACAGACGGGAAAATACTTATTTAAAGCAGTAGGCGACAAATGATATTTTTTATGACTTTCTTTATATGCGTGGGGAAAATATACTATATATTTCACAACTGAACCATCTATAGAGTATACGATGACCAAAATCCTGGCTTTTGTCCATATATTTCATAGTATCTACATTCCTATATAATGACCTGAGTTAAAGCTTGCCGCTATTCGAAATTGTTTACTTCAAACCCTGAGAATTTTCGCGTGCAGCGTGAAATTATTTCCGTGCGTCTTGACTCTGGATTTTTCTCGTTCAAGTTTATGACGTCACATTAAGTATTTTAATATTTTTCAATTCCGACTTTTGGACTGTTCGTTTTCAAATTCACACCGATAGCGCTACAGGTTAGGTTCTATATGGAAATGCCTGAAGACTGAATTTACGAGAATATATACATCCATTGTGAAAGGCGTACGAGATTGAGGCTCATGAAGGCCCCGATATACCCATGATGATGTCATTTCCTCAATATCTATTGTGTATTTTCATGCAAATATCTATAACGGTTGCCAATTGCAGATTATTTTAGCTGAGGTGGCCTTGATTCAAACTATATGGACCACTCCTAATTGTTTTAAGCAAACACGAAACCAGAGACAATATACAATAACTGCATCAATGCAAATACCGGCTAGTGTTGCTTCCTTTCCGTGTGAACAGACCGGACAATTTTCATTCGAAAAATATCAAACACTCGGACAACTTAGTGTTAAGAATGGACATTACAATTCAGAAGACTTGGAGACTGATGCCAACTGGAAACGATTGTATTGTATGGTTGTCAAACCAATCATAAAAATCTGAGAATGATGTTTTAGTCAAGGATAAGGGTAAAAAGAAACGCCTAATTTGGATATGACTTTTATTGGATAAGGGCCAATGTAGAAAATATTGTGAAATAGTCTATTTGACAATATTGTGTTGAGTGTTTCGTTTTGGCACCTCAAAAATTTCCTGGTGTAAGAATATATCCCACATCTCTCTATACTTACATGCTCATTATGCATGTACAAATCCCAGTTCAAAAAAGCAGACCAAAACAGGCAAAACGGGAAAGATTTTGCGGTGAAATTTACTGCATGGATAACGTATATATACAATTAATGTAAAATAGGACCAAATTTGTTTGCGTAGGAAAATCCTATATAGTCCTACCGGCAAAGTATTCTAGTACGAGAGGATATGATCATTATAAACTGTTGTAATTAATTGCACGTTTGAAAGTTAATACATGTGTCGTAAGTCGTATATATAACCATATACGAAGCATGCCATGTATGGGAATGTCGTCAGATTGTATTGAGGAAATTATCGTCACTGGATGACTTTATTATAACCCTATAGGAATATTTTCTATGTGGTTTCCCATTGACCATGCTGTATGTATCAAATACTAATGCCCCAGTCAAATGAGAACAAGAGTTGCATGAGAGTTTATTGCAAAGCCACTGCGCGCGTGGCGAAAACTCCTGCGGTCAAATCCACGTTTAGTTTGAATTAAATCGAAAATGAAAACTGCATTAGGCTATATGTATCGTAACTTTATAAGGAAAAAAGAACAGACGGGAAAATATTTATTTAACGCAGTAGGCGCAGTAAATGATATTTTTTATGACTTTCTTTATAAGCGTGGGGAAGGAATACTATGTTTCGCAATTGAACCATCTATCGAGTAAAATTACCAAAATCCTGACATTTGTCCATATATTTCATAGTATCTACATTCCTATATAATAACCTGAGTTAAAGTTCGACGCTTTTCGAATTTTTTTCTTCAAACCCTGAAAATTTTCGCAGCGTGAAGTTATTTCCGTGTTTTGATCTGGATTTTTCTCATTCAAGTTTATGACGTCATGTTAGGTATTTTAATAATCTTCAATTCCGGCTTCAGTGGACTGTTCGTTTTCAAATTCACACGGCATGGTCTGCGGAAATATCATAAGCTTCGCTAGGATGTCAGAGTATTATTTTGAAACTATTATGTCATTGCTTTCCTATTGTTGGTTTTCAAAATTTTGTTGGTTTCTCTTTTTGGGAGCAATTTCGTGTTTATTTATGCATAAGTGATATTGGTTATTAATTTATATAGAATAGCAAAAGCTTTGTCAGTTCTGAAGCAAGCTAGCGAGTCTCTGCCACTCGCTACCGACATCAAGTGTTCTTCACATAAATATAGGTTATTAAACCGGGATTAATGTAAAAGTGAGGTTGGGTCGTTTTAAGCATATTAAAAACGCGCGGTTCAACAGGAAAAAGTCTATACAATCAAGTGTCTAAAATCTGTTGTCTATATAGTATAGCAGCCTGACAAGATTGTTGCTAGGTCTGGCAAAACGAGCACACCATCCCCAAAATGAACTTAGTTTATTTGATACCTAAATTGTTCATTTGTTCTCCTTAGAAATCCACTATAAGAGCCGTATACGTTGTTTTTATTTATGGGTACATCATAGCTACTATACAATGAAGTACATGGTGCCCCATCCTCTGTTCTTTGAGGTTTATTAACTAGTTCTAAAATCTAGTTAACATGCAGGAATCAGGATCTATGGTGATTAATAGCTCGCTAACATTTATCTAAACATCACTGGAATTTGTTGTTAAAATCCTTATTCTTTACTATGGTGGATCTTATAGTTAGAAATATCGGCTGGGGAATCCAATTTCATATATACAAAACGCTCAACTGGCAAATGCTTGTTGTGGGAATCGAAGTGGCATGGATTAAAATCGTAGACACATGCCATGAAAATGCAATGTTAGGAAAGGTGAAATAATGAAGGTCGTTGTTTTAAATATAAAAAAAAATATATTAATAGAATAATAATTATAAGGGAGTGTTTTACTAATGTTTTTTACACCCACATATAAATGCACCCGCAATGTAAAATATGGAGTAAAATTACTTAAATTGCATGGTGAGTAAATTTACTTATTGTTTTGAGCAAATAAATCCTTATATATACTCAAAATATGTAAATAATTTGAGTAAGTTTGCGTCACTGCACGTGGGCGCATTATTTTAGCTCAAGCTGTTGAATCAAAATATTCAGCAGTCAGGGACGTTTCGTAGTATACTGAAAGTTTAGTTAGAAACTGATGCGATATATCGAAATATTTCATCTGAAAATGCAGGTTCAAACTGGAATGCGAAAAGTTAAGGCTCGATTAAAAGCATTTTGAAATTTCGAGCGAAGCCGAAGGCCATCACCTGCTAGCAGGTGAGCGCTATAAATCTCTAGGAAATTGGAGGCTATCAAAGCTACCAAGAAAGTTATACCAATCTTTTCATGACGAACTTTCGCTGGAAAATGCAATTGAATCTGAGTCGGTTTCGAATAGTGTTGTCATTGTAGAACGTAGTCTACTACACGTTTGAGACTTTGAGATATAAATTAAAAGGCACACACGCATATAGATAATGAATAACATTTTATTGATAAATTAAATAAATATTATTTACAAGATGGCATCGCCACTCGGTATTTTCATTATGAAATAAATTAAGAGTCATTCAGTGTTCTCGATTTTAGTGCGCAGATAACAAAGCCGGATTTTCAAACTTCGATAGAAGTTTCGCGAACATGTTCGTCTTGTGTTTTGCATCATTTTTGCTCTTAAGTTGTTTTTCAGCTTGAACGGTCAGCGAGTCTCTGTGTTCAAAACTACAAGAGTTTGCGAAGAGTTTTTCCTTGCTATCGACAGTCCGCTCGCTAGGAGAGTGTGCGATGACGTGAATATCTGGCTCGGATTTGCGTTTCCTCGACTGCTGGGGTTGAAAAGCGTTTTCAGCCTCGGGTTTGGCGGGCTCTGCGGTTAATAATTTCATGGGGAAAGTGAATGAAGTGTTTGTAACATCGTGTAGAGCCAGCGAATCGTATGATTTTGATCTTCGAATGCTGCCCTTGTCGCCTTTTCTGCGCTTCCGTCTTAAACTCGGTCCCGAACTGCCCGTGCTGAGTTTCTGCTCGAGTTTCTCTTTCATCGGTGCGCTGACATTGCGTTCGGGCTTTTCTTTCGTTGTAGAAACGTCGCTTTCACTCGCGTTGTCCTCGTCGATAGTCTCCGATGATTTGTCAAAAACACTGGTCGTTAAGAGCGTCTCCGAGAAGGCTTTCATCATAATCATCATCCAATCATCTCTATCTTCCTTGCATTTGAAAGCGAGCGTAAAATTCGGGCTTGTTTTGCTTGTCAATTGCATGCAACAAAGCTTACAACTGTTCAGTTCGATGTGGTCAAGTTTGATCGAAGATAGTTGCTCGTAAGGTAGGAAGCAAAGCGGTTTAGTGTCGTGCTTTGGTTTGCTTTCAAACGAGATGAGTCCAATGTCTGTTAGAACAAAATATTGCATCTTTGGTGCTTTCAGTAGACCACGATTAAACTTGACCAAATAGCCTTGCTTTATGGCGTAATCCTTCCAAGATAATTCTTCGGATTCTTCAATTTCTATTACTTCTTTAATATGCTCCATAATGAGATTTGGAAGTTTTCTGTATTATTTTGATGTCTGCTCTCTCGAGTGTACAATGTTAATGACATACACCCCAAAGACTCCACCTTATATAATGGATGGACACAAGTGTGGAATGTAAATTATTTCCATAGAAGGAAATTACCGCGCCTTCGAGAAGGACCATAGAGAGATCGCTGGATTGTCGCGTGGTACTCGAGTATGGCAGCCTGTCAGTATATACAATGATATTGTGGACTGAAGTTCGTCTGGAAATATCAAGTGTTTCAAATTTGAATTTCAAATTTCATTTTCCCATGCACATAAGCAATGCGTTTCAATGTTTAGCGCGCGCATTGGTTGAAGCTGATTTTTAAAGACTATAGTCCAATATTAATTAAACCCATTTTATTAAAAAATCCGCGTGTTCGCACATGGCAACAAATACTAACAAATTGTAGAAAGAAAGACGACTTAATATTCAATTACGCGTTTACAAAGTATTAATTGAAAATTATATGAATTTAACAAGTTGATTATAAATTGTCATGAATAAGAAATTAAATAAGTTTAATAATTCGGCATAAATAATTTGACCTAGTTTTGGTAATAAGGCCAAAAATAAAATAACAACTTGTTCACTAGGCTTATATAATATTGACCTTATGCATGTGCATGCCGTTTGGTCGGGCAAATACCGATTTAATTTATGGAAACCTTATTTGCTTGCTCCAATACATAAGTATATCATTCACCTCTGTTTGCAGGCAATATCATAAAAGACAATGAACCTAAACCCATCTATATATATTGAATAAAAAAATTGAGGAAAGCAACGCACCCATGGTGACTCAAAATATTGGGTAAATTACTCAAATGTATGAGCATGTGCAAAAAAACAAAACTGAGTACGTATAAATTTGAAACTTTACTCAACAAAATTGAGTAACTTTGCTCAAAATTTTGAGTCACTATAGCTATATATATGGGTGCATTTTTGGGTTAAAGTAATAAACTCATCACAGGACAAAATTTGAAGTCGGATATATCAAAAGTTATAGACTATTTAATTTCTGTATTCAAATATATTTGACATCATAAAGAAATGTACTATCGCCGGTAAAAATATTTTTGCAATCTTTTCACATTTTTTTTTTGTTTAAGGGGGCTCGTTAAAACCTGTCCATCAGGAGATTTAAAATTTAATTTTGAATGTATGGCAAGCATACCAAGTATTCCATGTATGCGAATTTCGTCAGATATGTATTGAGGAAGTATCTCTAGGTCATTCATGATAGGACGCAACATTCCCATGACCTATCACGTCACTTGAAGTAATTATAGGAATATTTTTGATGTGGTTTTCACGGTGACCACGAATTTATGCCATATATCTAGAAAACACTATAAAGATCAAATCGAAAAATGAACTAACATGTTGGTCTAACACCAACAAAGTATGTATATATGCATGGGTGATTGCATCATGCATTGTATCATTATTCATGAGTCTGTTTGAACATGATGTATACTAGTCTTGTCTGATGTTGCAAGATTTTGGATAATAGGTTTGACTTTTTTCAAACATTTGATCAAACATCATTGCTACTATATTACAAATTAATTTAAAATGTTTGAACTGTGGCAACGATCTATATCAAATTTCATAACTCTAATTTCAAAATCGAGTTGAGATGCCAACACTGAAAATCTTGATATTTATTACCTATTCTATATACATGGCAGTACCCGAGTATATATACATAAACTTGTTGTTAGTGCTCGACAACTGGCCTCTGTATAGCTCAGTTGGTTAGAGCACTGCACCAGAATCGCAGGTTCAATTCCTGCCAGGGACTTACAGTTGCATTATCTTTAGATTATAGCCAGGAAATTTTTAACCAGGATGTTTTAGGCTGTGGGAATACCTATATCATATGAAGTACGCCCTAACTTTATTTGTCTCTCGTCTTAAACATTGATCACACTTTATATGACATGTTAACATACAGCACTAGCTACTATACCGGCCATATTGAAAATTAAAATTTTCAACTATTTAAGATAAATCGTGACTTGCATGCAATGATGATAAAGTGTAAATGTGTAATTGAAATTTCAATTTTTGTAATTGAAAAGTAAAAATTATAATGCATATTTTAGTGTGATAGTAATGAAAAGTGCATCTTGTATATAGTGAAAGTAATATTAAATAATGAATTTTGGCGCGACAAATTGAAAAAAGCATGGGTGAAGTACTGTTGTAAATCGTTGCCAAATTAAATAGACATTGTGAAATGGGGCGGAGTTGTTCTGCCAAACACAAGGGCCAGCCTTAACGATGTAGTCCAGGAAAGAAGTGGTGTATTATGACATATGCAATGATGTCTCTTAAATGTGGTGTCCAATCTAGGAGTAGTCGGCAAAAGAGAAAGGAAAATACGCAATAATGACTTTGTGCATGCAAAGTCCTGAGACTTAACGTCGGAAATTTGTCTATAACTGCTCGAGAATACGTTAAGTCATGGCTCATTCCACAAGAAATATTCAGCCCAACGGTATACTGAAAACAACTACATATATCTTGAGAATATCATGCATGTCTTACTTGGCGTATCTACTGCACAGCTGATAAACGCATGATTTTAGCTTTCCTAGGCTGAAATTTACTTGAGCGGGGAAGTAGCTAGATTCCAGCCTCAAGTATCCATTTCGCTTATAATTGAGGAGTAGCCGAATTGCAATTGACCTGAACTTTATAACAAACATTTTGACGTTTCAAGCCAATTAGAAGTATATATCTAGTCAAAATACATTTCTTTTTCTATGTAATTTCGCATTGTTTGGGGGTATGGCATATCATGTGCTATTCACTTGTCAGAAATACTACTTCAACACAAGTTCCACTATTTCCTTCAATTAAAAGAATACACCAGAATTGTGCAATACTTTCTCGCGCGCCCGGAAATGTCGGCAAAAGTTGCAAAGGCATGGCTTGGAGTATTATGTTTTAATACTGTTAGTGTACTTAAGTACATGCACTAACAGTTTCTACTTAAGAAATCGGGCAGTTTGCTAGGCCTGTTTTCCTCGGTATCATGTATTTTGCCATCATATTAATGTTGAGATATTAATATTAAAATTTAGGCAGAGAAATTGAATTACAGGTTGAAAGTTTCTTTCATTAAATTCAAATTACTGATCGGATGCAGTAGGAGTTTTTCATGTATCTTTAATAAAGAATGAAATTCCGGAAATACTCCTAATAATTCTATATCTTTTTTATGATTTGTCATTTTAAGATTGACTTTATTCTACGCGTCTGTATAAAAGATGTGTTCCTTCTATTTATCTTCTACTGATCTATCAATAAACCCATGATAATGTCCATGGGCGTACCGGAAGGAAAAAATTAGGGGGGGGGCGGAAAGAAATTTGCCCGACTTTTCGGGATTGTGCCCGACTAGTACCGAAAAAATTTTTCGCGGAAAGAATATTTCGGCGACCCCCCCCCCCCACCCCCCCGTCGCCAAAAAAATTTCGGTCAGTGTACCATTTTAGGGGTCAAACCAATCATAAAAATCTGAGAATTATGTTTTAGTCAAGGATAAGGGTGAAAAGAAACGCCTTATTTTTTTTTCAGGAAAGGTTTGGTTTAAATTTCGATATGATTTTTATTGGATAATTAAGGGCCAATCAGTAGAAAATATTGTGAAATAATAGTCTATTTCACTACTTCAGTCTATTTGAGTATTTCGTTTTGGCATCTCAAAAAACTGTTTCCTGGTGGAACCCACATCTCTCTATATACCTGCTCATTATGCATGTACAAATACATCTATTAACTTAGGTTTCCTTTGCAAACTTTTTTGGCGTATTCCCAGCTCAAAAGAGCAGACCAAAATAGGCAAAACGGGAAAGATTTTAAATTTACTGGATAACGTATATACGATTAATGTCAAATAGAACCGAATTTGTTTTCCTTGCGTAGGAAAATCCTATATAGTCCTACCGGCAGACTGGACAGAGCATTCTATAACGGTCCCGTAATTGCCGTACGAGAGGAGTATATCTATATACGAAGCATGTACTCCATGTATATGGGAATGTCGTCAGATTGTATTGAGGAAATTACTGGATGACGTCACTGGATGACGTTATTATAATACTAGGAATATTTTCGATGTGCTTTTCACATGCATCATGCATTGACCATGCTGTATGATCATTTATTCTAATGCCCCGTTCAAACGAGAACAAGAGTTGCACGAGAGTTGATAATGATGAAAGTTTACTGGATTACTAATTCGAAAATGAAACACGCATTTTAGGCTATGTATCGTAACTTTATAAGGAAAAAAGAACAGACGGGAAAATACTTATTTAAAGCAGTAGACGTTAAATTATATTTTTATGACTTTTTGTATATGCGTGGGGAAAATATACTATATATTTCACAACTGAACCATCTGTCGAGCATGATGACCAAAATCCTGACATTTGTGATTTGTCCATATATTTCATAGTATCTACATTCCTATATAATGACCTGAGTTAAAGCTCGCCACTATTCGAAATTGTTTACTTCAAACCCTGAGAATTTTTGCAGCGTGTAATTATTTCCGCGTTTTGATCTGGATTTTTCTCGCTCAAGTTTATAACGTCATATTAAGTATTTTAATAATCTTCAATTCCGGCTTTAGTGGACTATTCGTTTTCAAATTCACACCGATAGCGCTACAGGGCCAGGCTTTGAAGGGCGCTTTCCAAAAAAAAAGGGCATCTCAAAAAAAATTTTTGGCGACCCCCCCCCGTCGCCAAAAAATTTCGGTCAGTGTACCATTTTAGGGGTAAAAAATTTTTCCGGACATACCATATTTTTCCTTAAATACTAAAAATTTTTTCCGGAAAAACAAATATATGATATTTTTATCGGAAACTAAAACATTTTTCGGGAAAAAACCTACATTACAGTTTTCAAAAGTTTCGTTTGGACAAAAACTGCGAATTTTATGAAAATTTTTCAGGCACAAAAAGGGCACTTTGCTCCTGTAAAAAGGGCACTTGCCAAAACTTGGGGGGGGGGCATGGCCCCCCTGCCCCCCCCCCCGGTTCCTACGCCCCTGGACAATGCAATAACCTCATGAATGCAAATAGC